CAGGAACACTAAAAAATGTAAATAAAGTACAATGAAGTATTTCCATTTCAAAATTAAGGCTGAGTAAAAGAGTTAGGGATATAGAATTAGGAATAGAGGAATAAATAAATTAGGAATATAGGATTAAACAACCAGTTGAAAATAATGAAGTAAGTATGCCTAACTTTCAAATGCCCTAAAATCCAAATCCAGGAAGTTTTTAAAATACTATTTGACCTTGTATATCCATAAAAATATCAAATATAGCTGAAATCATGAGTCTAAAGAATTTTGTTTTATAGCTGTCACATACAAACCTGCCTTCTTTAAAAATTAAAGTGATATACTTAAGAAAACTTATTGGCACGGAATAAGCCAATATTTTTCAAAAAAGCATGCACAACATTCTTTTCTCCCACTTCCAAAGGAAATCTAGAGTCAAACCAGAAAATCACAACCACAGTATGAGAGCCTGACTGACTGGCTGATTACTCAGGAAACACTAGATCAGAATCCAAATAACTGAGAGTAGGTAGAACTCTGCAAGTTTTGTCCAAATTATGCAAACACACAGTTCTTCCTCCATAAAAGGAGAATCATAACATCTGCACTACTTAACTTCACAAGGTTATTTTACTAATCAAATGGAATAATAAAAGCTAATCATTACTGAGTGCACAGTGACAGGCTATTCTTATCCTTTTATGTATATTATCTCACTTAGAATACCCTTACATAGTACATAATATTATTTTAAGGATGAGAAAATTGAGGCATAACTTGTCCAAGGAAACTCAGCATAGAAAGTGGCAAAGCCTGGAATTGAACCTCTTGTACTCTGACTCCAGAACCCACTGGAATACACAGAGATGAGAAATGTAAAGCGCAAAAAAAGGCAAGTGGCAATTCTAGAATCTATTTCTTTTGTTTCCTTTAGATCAAACTGGATGTGCCGCCAGATGGTCAAGAAAAAAATATTTGGGTCCTTGAAGTCAGCACTTCCAAAAGAAAACCACTCTGAGACAGGATTCTAAATCATCTTTCAACAAAATAATCAGATTTAGAACAAAGTGAGGGGTAGAAATAAGGACAGAGACATTCCTGACAAGGCTAAGATCATAAAAACCAGGGTAATTAATTGGGAAGGATAACTAGGAAGAAAAGACATGGATTTTGTAACATTCAGGGAAGTAAAGCAGAGAAATGAAATAAGCAGAGAGAGAAGGGGCTACATTCTCCCAAAATATTCAACTTTCATCCAAGAAGTGATGTCGGGTCCTAAGGGTGAGTCGTGAGGAGATGACTGTTAACACCCCAGTTCAGATACTGGGTCAGCCCAGAGGGCTCACCACAGAACTAGCTAAAAAGTCCAGTCAGACCTGAGATTTTCAAGTCCTTTCTACCATGGACCACATAAAGGAACAGATTTGACATCTTGATGTAGGAACTTCATACGAAAATAAATACATACACACACATTAAAGAACTAAAACTAAAGTTTTCCTGAACAGTGTACTCTGGTATTTCCTATTCTATTTCTTCTCCTCTTTTCAATGCTTGTCATGAATTATTAAATTGATTTAATGATCTGCTAATGGGTATTGACCTACAATATGAAAGTTGCAAACACACCTGGACGTGCAACTAGAATGAGAGCTCGTGTGCATGTGATCCATTCACTGCCTGTGCAGCTCTTTCAGAGAAAGAACAGGGCAGCTAGCATTTGAAACGTGCACAGACACACTATACCCCTGCTTATTAAATTGTATTTCCCTCACCACAAGCTCCTTAGCAACATAAGGCTGCCTGTCCTTTGTACATAATTATGACAAGGAGACAGAGCTATAAATAATAGGACTTTCCTGCATCAGCATTCGTATCACAAGGAAAGAGCCCAACTTTCTTCCTGAGAATTTCCAAGTAAGTCCCGATGTAGGTGGTTTAGGCGCAAAATCAGATTCCATTTGGTCCTGGAATTCCTCAGAATTGTAGGCACCTTAACTGCCTTTGAGTTTCTTTGTGACGGTCTTCCCTGGCTTGGCCTCTTTTATATACTATGCAATTCAATCACGACTCCTCCCCGATGCTTTTTGTCATTTTCAAACATGAAGTACTGTCACCGAAAAGCTCAGAACAAAAATCATGGAAATTCTTCCCTAGATTGAAAGTCCTGTAAATATTTTGCATTCGATTGGAGATTTTGTGGAATTTCCATCCATGAGCAGGAAAGCTACCAGTCATCTTCAAATATTTAGCCAGAATTTTAAAACAAAAACAAAAACCTATAAAGAATTTGTGTTCAGGAGGCTCAGCCCCAACAGTGAAGAAAGGTGGAATATGCGAGTGTTGGCAGCCGTCCAAGAACACTGGCAAATACAGTGAATGCATCTAGAAGGGGCAGGAAAGCGGAAAGTCTTGGCTTGAAAAAACATTTGCAGGAGTGTCAAAAAATGTATATGAGCGGAAACCATACCCAAGAGTTCATAGACCTGCACAAAGCTGAGAAAAACATACTTGGAATGATTCCTGATTTTAACACCTGTGAATGGACTGCAGGTAGATGAAAAGACACACAAAATCAGGCCTCAGAGGTAGGAATGTGGAGAAAAAACATGCTCCTGACTGAACACATTCTGATTTCCTACCAAAAAGTCTCTATAAATTTCACCATGATTTTCAAGAGCTATTAAAAACCTGCAGAAGAGAATTAAGATTCAATGAAATCAGACTTAATTTAATTATGTCCAAGGTCTTATGCTGGATTTGGGGGACTGGGGGACGAGAAGTAGCTGGTGGAGGGGAAACATTCTCATCCAATCACGATGCAGCAGAATGAAGTAAGTGCTACCACAGGAGCTTAGAGCAAAGGCCAGGGTCTGATCCGTGAACTGCACCTGAGACAACAAGTTGATGGGAACAGCTGCTCCTCACAGCACATGCAGTCAGGACAGGAAAGGAGATGAAGGGCCTCAGGCTCAGTCCTTCCCCTTGCTGTCCCAAACTCAAACAACATGTGGTGTTTTGGGTCTGGCTTCTTTTACCCGACAAAATGTTTCTGAGATCCGACCGTGTGGCAGTGTGTGTCTGTACCTCACTGTCCTGTACTGTGCAGCAGTCCTCACTGTGCCCAGCTACCGCATTGTGCCTACCCGCTCACCAGTGAAGAACGTTCGGTTTGTTTCTGCGTTTTGGTTATTATGATGCTGCTGCTATAAACACTCACTCGCCAGTCTCTGTGCTTCATTTCTCTTGGGTGACAACCAGGAGTGAAACTGCTAGGTCAGGTGGCAATTTGCATTCAGCTTTTTGAGAAACTGTCTAACCAGTTTCCAAAGTGGCTGCACCATTTTATACTCCCACCAGTAATGAATGAGTTCCCGTTTTCCACAACCTCTCCAACACTTATTTTGATTTTAGCCATACTACTGGTGAGAAGTGCATCTCATTGTGGTTGAATTAATGTGTCCCTACTGACTAAGGAGTGTCCTTCCCTGGCCTGGATTCCTTGCCCTGAACACATGTCTCCAACAACTACTTCCCTCTATGGATTCTGTCCTGTCTGCAGGTGAATATGATGGAATCCGTCCCATCTTAAAACTAAAACCAAAACAGCTTTCCTGTCTCTAAAAGGTCTACATGGTTTCCACTTTGTCATAGTCACCATTTTGTAGCATTTGACTAACAGACAACACTTGTTTTTCCTCAAGGAAACTGTATGCCCCAAGGGAACTCCCATTCCGGAGATGTGCGCCCATTATTTCCACCTTTGGCTTATCCTTTGCGTGTGCTTCTCATGTGACCTAGTTTTCTAATTCAGTATCAACCTTCCTTTAGATTCACTACTTCAGATGCTGGTAAGTTACTCTTGAAATTTTTTATTGAATATCACACGGGTATCTTTTTCAATGAAGAACAAAAAACAGAACTGTGTCTATCTCAGTGTTTTCAGCTCTGTTTAATAACTGATCCTCACCAAATATATAACATTACGAGATGAAAGGGCATTATTCAACCATGCTGGAAAACATTTGCAACAGATTATAAAAACAAAATATTCTCTCTAGAGTAAAAGCCATTTTCTTCTTTAATCCTGTCCATGCACTTTTAGTACAACCTTCTTTCACCTCATCGTGAACTCTAGTCCTTCAGCTCCGCCGTTCTTGCGTTTGAATTTTGCCCAATATTTGAAGACACTGGTGGTGGGCAGAATCCTAAGATGTCCCTCAAGATCCCTGTCCCCAGTACACCAGCCTGTAAATTTCCTGGGGGGCGTGGGGCGCACTGATGAACCAGATGGGATACCACTAATGTGAACAGGCCACTGATCAGCTGACGCTGAGTCAGTCAGAAGGGAGATTGTCCTGCGTGGACCTGACCCGATCAGGGGCTCAGTGTAACAGAAAGTAAGCATCAGAGAGCAGTGCCCCTGCTGGCCACAAGCAGGAAGTAAAATGACACGTGCAAGGAAGGGCCACATGGCAAGGACCTGAGCACAGCCTTTAGGCGCTGGGAATGGTCCTCAATGGGCGGCTAGCAAGAAAACGGCCACCTCAGACCCAGAGCCCCAAGGAAATTAATTTTGCCAACACCCAGAGCTGGAGGAGGACCTCAGATCACAGACAAGGTCACAGCCCAGGATGACAACTTGATTTCAGCCATGTGATACTCTTGAGAACCCAGCTGACCTGTACTCAGACTTCTGACCCAAGGAAACTGTGAGATAGTAAGTTTGCATCATTTTAACCTGTCAAGCTTGTGATAATTCACTACACAGCAATAAAAAGCTAACACAGTAATTTAAAAGTTATATCCTCCTTCCCATTTGTGTCTGTTCAAAAAAGTAAATAATTATAAAATTTTAGCGTTATGTGCATCAAAGGGTGGAAAGAACTAGAAGCCAACAAGAGCATCAACAGCATTTTATAACATAATTAACAATTAAGCCTAATACTATTCTTCCGGCATGGCTCCTTAAGCCTCTTACGATTGTGGTGTCAGTGATCATGTGAACGCTGCAGTACCTCGGTCCTCCAGGGGGTTGCCAGCAAGATTGATCGTGTGGAGTCCTGAGCTGGGATTATGTGCTAGAGCAGTGGCCAGTTTTTGTGCAAAATCTCTGTGAGTAAAAAAATAGTAAGATTAAATAACTCAAAATATAAAACTGCTCAAGCAAAACATTTAAAGCTAAAATAGCTAGAGTGAAATCTAACAAAGGAGAAGCTTTCTTTACAATATTAATCTATATATCATATATTTGTCAACACTCAATTTATAATCCTCATGAGAGAATCTATAAAGCCACAGCCAGAATATGGTTCATTTTGATTGGCCAAAATCTCATTCAAAAGCCAAAAGAAAATACAGAATTGCCCCTTTAAAGAAACACTGCAAGATGCGATTAATAGTACTTCTTAGCCCCTCCGTAAGGCAGAAGACAAAAAAAACCTGAAGTGAACCTGCTTTTCAGGAAAATGACAATAAGCCACTCACTATATCTTGGTTCTCATTTCATGTAATCCTGATGAGTTCAAATCTGATCTCTGTAATTACTGCGTTTAAAGGGTACAACTGCTGATACTATATTTTAACAAAAATCAAAACCACTATTTTAGGTATGTTTAACTTAAAGTAACACACTAAGTGCTGTGATTATTAAACTGTCAACCCTCCTTACTCTTTGTTCTAGAAGACTGAACTCTTATGCCCCACATAAGGCTCGGCTATTGGCTGCTACACCACCGAATGAAGACTATGTGAGTGTGAATTTGAGAAGAGAAAGACGTGGCTATCATGCATCAAAGCAAAGCAGTAACATAATACAAAATGTTATTACTATGACTACCACTGACACTGATCAAAGCTGACACATAGCATCTAGAGTATGAAAGATACTTTTCTAAGCACTTTACATGAATTAATTCATTTATCCTCATTATCAATGATCTGTAAGGGAGGCACTATTATTATCTCCATTTTAAAAATGAAGAGTCAGAGACACAGAGTTGAAATGATTTGCTTCAGGCTATGAGGCACCTGGCTGACGTGTCTACACTCTTAACCATTATACCACCACCCTCAGAAATATCAAGTGACACAAGAGCAAAAGATGTTATAAAATCCTTGATCTTTGTGATAATGACGGATCATAGGGGTCCTTCTTTTAGAAGAGTAAACACTATGCTCTATATGTGAGTAGCCCAACTTCTTTTTTAACTATAATTTTAGAGGAAACTGCAAAAAGTTTTAAAGCAACATATTCATGTATTCAGAAAAATACTCACGTTCGAAGTCCAGCGTTTTCCAACACCAATTCTTCTAGTTGACTGGACCTACTTACCACTCTCAAGATCTGTTCACAGACATCAGTGGACTATAAGAGAAAACATTCTTTGACCATGCTGTCAGTCTAAAAGCAACCTCACTTTATTTTTATAAATATATGCAGAGGTGAAGTTTTGATTAAATAAATCATTCCTTCATGCATTAAACCTTGACTGAGCATCTGCAACTCTGCACCATCATGATGAAGGTCCTAGGAATACAATGACACTCTTGGTACACAAGATGTGCCATCCAGAAGGGGATCAGATAAGAAGAAAATACATAATTATGACAGAGTAATGAAAAGTAGTACTATGGGCACCCAGAGGCACAGCAATCCCAATCTTGGGAAAACCAAAAGAATCCCCAAATAAAGGGATACCCAAAATGGAGAACTGAAGACTAAGTGGTAGCAATGGTGGTAACAATGTTGATGATGAATATCCGAGCTCTTGTCATGTACCTGACCCTAGGTTAACCCTTTATGTATATTCTCATTATAAAATTATTAAGTAGTATTATTCACTTTTTATAGATATGAAAATTGAGTCTTAAGATATCATGTATTTTAAAAGGGAGCCTGAAAAAGCATTTGGTAAACGTTAACTATTACAAAATTCCCACTGTATTCTTTAAAATAGAGTGAAGCAGGAAACAACCTAATAATAACAAATGGCTCAGTAAATAGTTGCCTCATGTTAATAAACATTGTTTTCAAAAATTATGGCACTGTAAAATTTTATCTGTCAAAATATTTTAAATGGTTAGGGTACAATGTTAAATGAAAATGCATAATTAAAATGAAATGTTTAATAAAGATAAGAATTGAAATGGCTAATGTATTCACTGTAATAGCAAAATTCTTGAGGGGACTATAAAAAAATGAAGAGTCATGCCCTAGTGGCATATGTGTACATAATTTTTCTTTTAAATTTTTATTTATTAATGTTTATATATATATTTATATCCTGCCTTACTTCAAACTAATTTAAGATGGCTCCTGACCATAAACTTATTTATACATTAAAAACTGATTTTAAAGCCTCATTACAATTGAGGGTCTTTTTAAATCTTTTATGATATAAAAAAAGAGAAAGCATGTTCTGTGTGCCATGCATTTAATAATCAAAGCAGTTTCTTTTCCTAAAATGCCACATAAAACTATTAGGGTTTTTTTTGTTTGTTTATCCAGTTATTCCAAGTGGATTAACCACCACTGCAACAGTCTGAAATGTAACAAGGATCAAGTATCCTTTAGAAAACCTGACCTGGAAACACATCAGTCCCACAGCATCTAAAGTTATTCTAATTCTTATGTGCTATTTGATTCCATTTGGTCTACAATGTTGCCTTCACACCATTTCTGGGTTTCTAATATGTTCAACACACTGATGAGGGAAGAGAAAATTAATTTCAACTGACCTGATGCCTGTAATTTACATGATGTTGATGGTGGTGATGTTCAAAATAGTGCCCCCTTATCAGTATAATTCTTTGTCTTACGGTGTACAACCAGGGGAACTGACCTTACTCTGTGCTGTCATGATAAAAAGTGATTACTTAAACAGAGTTTTTGAGGGATTATCCTAATTCCCAGGAAGCACCCACAGTACCGTTACCTTTCCAGGGCCACCTCACAGAGCAGCCAAAGAGATGATGTCCCAAAGCAGGGATTTGAAGCAGGGCTTTCATTCGCCCACTGGGTATAATTGCAGTAAGAATTTATTACAGAAAATATATGAAAAGTGTGTCCAATTTTTCTTTAAGATGGGGAGGGGAGAGGCGTAACAATTCATTCGAGCTTAGGTTACTCTTGCTACTTTTTGATAAGTGCCAAATACACAAAACAAATTGTTTTCTACACAGAAATTGTAGATGACATTTTTAAAGAGATACACACACAAACATACACCTTATCAGTATGACATCACACAGCTGTGACCGTCATAGTAGTTCTCCCCAAATGTCACATGCCTGTTCAGCAGTATGTTCACTGACCAAGGAAAAAAATTTTAACAAAATAATATAATGGCCCTCAAAGAATTTGCATTTACTTAAAAATCAAATGTACACGATAAAAACAAGAGCATTGCTATAAAGTAACTACTGAACTTGCATAAAATAAAACAAAATAAAATGTAAAAAAATAAAAAGAATTTTAGAACTCAATGGAACTGGCCCAATCTTATCATTTTTAAAAAGATTAAAAAGGACCCAGTGATGCTCACCGACTTGCCTAAGTTCAAAACCAAAAGAGCTGAGCAAGACTCCAGTTCTACTGCTATTTTAGTGAGTTGAGAATTTGGGACAGAAACTTGGCTCTAATTGCATGTTTGGCATACCTCATCTTTTAAAAAAAATAATCCCTCTATCCTTTTATTTAAACTAGGGGTAGTGGCTGCTAACTGCCTTCATATAAGATCAGCATAAAGCACATAAACACGTCGCTCTTGCGTCTCAGCACAGGCGGCGGTCCTAGGAGCAAGGAGCTACCTTAACAGCCCAGTGAATCCACGGGAAGTCACCTCTCTTTGCTCTGCATTTCATGTTTTTTATGCACTTCATGTTTTAAAAAATCCAAAGAAGGTATAATGCTATTCTTTGCCTCAAACTGTTAGAAAATGTCCTAAAACAGAACATTCCAATACCCAGCAAATGAAAGTATTGTTTCTTTTTAATTTTGGGTGGAAAACATGAAGAATTGCTATTCTTTAAAAAGACTGTAAAGTGACATCCCAAAGACCATTTTTCGTTTTAAAATACCAAGTATTAACAACATACAAATGTATTTTTGTGTTTAAGTCTCAGCTAACAGAAAAAGGCAGTAAGGGCAGGCCTCAAATCCTGTCACTCGCCTGCCTTCCACCCCAGGACGCCCAAGAGAGCATATGAGCACCTGCATACTTTACTTTGCCAGGACTGAAATGACTAGATGCATATTTTCTTGCCTGAATGTCTAAAGTAGCTGAAAGGAAAGGATGCCTGGGAGGAATGATAACAGAATGGCAGCATCGATGGCCTGGACACATGCCTGGACTGAGTTGGGACAATTTCTGACAGTAGGACATCCACAACCCCCTCAGAGCTCTCTGTGCTTCCTTTTGAAAATTTTGAAAATCACGAATTTACGTGAATGTTTGAATGAGCCAGGTAAACTGACTTAGTAGTGAAGCATTTTGTCTTCTGATGCCACAGTCCCTGGGCTAATCTGTTTTTCCTTCCTCGAGTGACTCCCCTCTCTCTGATCTGCAGTCTCTGCTGGTCCAGCCCTACAGATGGCCCCCATCTCAGCGAGCAGCAAACAAGGAGACGGCTTCTGTGTCCAGGTCTCCCACCACGGCTTCCTGCCTGTTCCCTGGGAGTTAGTTCCCTTGGCTCCCCTGCCACCCCCGGCTCCATCATTATTACTGACCTCGCATCCTCCCCCTGTTCAGCTAATACAGTTTCCATAATTCATGCTCCCACATTTGTTCATTTCTCAGTCTCTTTGCTAGTTTGATTGTGATAACGAGAATAACAACAGTTTACATTCTGAAGTGCCTTCAATATGGCAGGTACTGTGTTAGAATTTCTATATACATTATTTGCTCATCTCAGTAACTTGTAAATTAGTTATACTGCTATGTCCATTCATTCAACAAACTAATATGGCACATATTAATTAAACCAGTTTTTACAGCATAGATATTATGAGCCTCATACTCTGAAAAGCACTGGACAGAGACAAGAAAGACAAAAGCTCAGGTATGCAGGAAGCTGAGGCCCTACAAGGTCAAGCAACTTATCTAAGGTCGTACACCTTGTAATAAGAATCAGAATGTGAAACCAAAGTTTCTGTTTCCAAGTCCACACTCTTTTCCTATATAACACTGGCTCTTAATGTGCCCCAAATGAGTTAAGCCCTTGCTCATACTGATAAGCCAGTAAGCCACTCACACCCCAGGCAGATGCAGAGAACCAGCTGTATGTCCACTAGCAAATCTTAACCCTCCACTTTCTATAGCTCCAACCTAAATCCTACCTCTTCGATAGGAAAATCTTAACCCCTCAGTTTCTAATGACCTCTGATCATTGGAGGCTTGAATGCGAGAGTTACCAATAAAAGACACCTAAATTATTTCCTGTCCTAAATGAAGCAGCAGAAAGCTAACTTACGGACGAGCACCTGTCTGTATGGCTGTTTTGAACTTGCAAAATATCCTCAACAGAGCTTCCTATTTCCACTACTAAAACAGACCAAAATTTTAGTTCCCCCATGCCGTATGAAAACCACCATTTCACTTTGATTCCATTTTGTGTACATATAAATCCGCCCAAAAACTCATCTAGAAAATTAATCTTAACTATCACAACTCAAACAAACCACTGCTACCTGGTAACATTTTCCTAAATACTTAGGAAGGGAAGATACATGGAGATGAAATGCAAGATAGGAACATAAAATCTGCTGTTTGCAGCTGTACAAATGCAACCTTAAGAGTTCTTGCTGGCCAACTGAGTACTGAAGGTCACACTCACGTGTCTTCCTGTTCATCACCTAAAACTGCCTGAAGGAGCTAACAACACAAGGAAGTACTTCTCTGAAACGTCTCACATTATATATAAACTTTATAAAATGTCATGCACATCATTTATAGGAAGATATTTCCAAGAAAAAAACATGAATGCAACTTACCAGTATGGTAGAACAACAAATTTTTTTTTTTTATAATTATCAGGTTTATGAAATTCAACAAAGCTAAGCAATATCTGCAACATCAGGTACTTACCAGTTTTAGATCCTTAGAAGACAGCTTTGTGAACCACTGATTGTATTCCAGAACAGCAATGATAGGTATTAGGTCCCTGGAAGCAGAAATAACAAAAACATGAAGTGCTCTTGCAATAACCATGTTGACACTTTATTTTTAATCTATGACATTCAAGTCTACTTGTTAATTTCTATTATTTACAAACATACCATCCAGAACTATTTGGACCACTGGACAACAATTATATTTTCTAGGATATATCTTCAATATTATATAAGCAAAATTTCCTCTAGACACTCTAATTCCTATTTCCCAAGGAAAAGAGGCTGATGGCAGTGTTTGCTAGAACTTTCTCTAAGAGAAATTATACATCTACCGCCATACTAGCAAGTCTTCTCTTTAGACCGCTCCTTCAAAAATTCTTTAACCGTCAAGAATGGCGTATATTCTCTAGTCAGACAAGTTTATATTCCAAGCAAGGACAGTGTCTAGTTTGATAATAAGTGATATCAAACGGATCCCCAGTGCTTGGACGATGTGGCACTTCCTTGCAATTCTTAGTACCGATTATATACCTGAGATACCCAGGTGTATTTCTGTCTTACGTTTCATACAAACTCTTCAGCTATGAAGCGAAGCTATTTGTATAAGAGACCTGCCTCCGTTCTCTTTTGCTTTCCCGATCAACAACATTTCCCTCGCTCATGCTCAAGTCAAAAGCAAACAATTCACTACTTACCAAACCTGCCATGCAATTTTACAATCAGAATTATCTTTTACTGATTTAGTCAGCTGTGAAAATCCATGTATCCTTCAATGCCTGCATCAGACATCCTCTCCTCCCTAAGTTCCCCCAGGTCACTCCAGCCAGCACATGGCTTGCATTTCAATTTAGCATTTATTTTATCATTTTCTATTATAGTCTGTTACTTAAATATCTGTTCCCACCACCCCAGATTGTAAGTTCTTTGAAGCCAAGTCTCTGTTTCAGTTTTATGGCTTCTGTGACACAATAACAGTTTCATCCTTAGGGCATGACATGCAGCAAATACTCAAAGTTTTACTGAAATAGAAAAGAAAGGCAGAAGGTACGAAGACAGCTGAAATCAATATTATTTCACGGCTTCTGGGTACCAGGCCCAGCACTAGGCAGTCTACACAGAGCATCTCATTTAAATCCCAAAACAACCCTAGGAGGTCCGTATTATTTACATTTTACAAATAGAGATGTTCAGAGACATATAGTGAAGATAGGTCAGAGTGACCAAATTAGTCACAACCCAGACTCTAAAGGAACCACGTGTGTTGTTTCATCAGACTTGCTTTAAAAAGGCAAAATGAGTGCACAGGTGGCAGAGAAAAGTGACGCACAGGAATGAGCAGTGCCGGTCAGGTAGTTCCATGTGCCATTTTTCCATTTTACACTGTCCACTGACCAAGTGCTCAGAACAAATCCCCGCAGCTGTCCCTGGTGTCTAACGACCTACCTTCAGCTTCTCTGAGGGTAAGTCCACCTCATCACACCCACACGGCTCCAGAGCACTCTGCTGGGCTCCCCCATTCAGGAACTACAGCAGATCGGTCTCATCTCATCTCCTTTTATGGATTTAATGTCAAGTAGTGACTGCACTTCAGAACCTCTCTACTGTGTATTCTAGTCTATCACTTGATCTGATTTAAGTACAGCTTTCGTCATAATGAAGTCATTTTCAGGAACTGAAGAGCTTAACACTAAAGGCCCAGGTTTTACATCAATGCAATGGGTAAACCAGCATCATCTCTACCTATGACATGCAAAAACACTGAAAGAAATATTCTGGCACACTAAAAGTTGAATCTAATACTTAATAATATCAGAAATGTTTCAGGTACAATATTGAATTTAAAAACATACAGCATTCTAGGTGCACATTTGTGTGATGCAGTCAATGATAGTATCTGGTAAAAACCACATATAAAATAATAGATATAAATGCTTACAGTTACAGATAGTTTTTTTTTAAAAGAAGAAAAAGAAATATAGCAAAATGTGATGAGGATACCTTGCCTCGATGGTAGCATTAAAGGTGATACTAATTTTTTTCTAATGTAATTCCTGTACTATATTTTTAAAATTTTAAAAAATGATCCACATTCATAATCTAGAAGACTTATAAAATTAAATGTCCCATAGATGGTGTAATTAAAATTTTGTTCTAGGAAAAATTATCCATAAAGATGACAGAGACTTGCGCATGTTGGCATGGTTTACCTAACACGTCCCTCTAAATTATGTTAATGCCTAGACATTTTTTTTTTGGTATCATTAATCTACTTTCACATGAGCAACACTGTGGTTACTAGATTCTCCCCATTATCAAGTCCCCCCCGACACACCCCTTCACAGTCACTGTCCAGCAGTGTAGTAAGATGCTACAGAGTCACTACTTGTCTTCTCTGTGCTGTACTCCCTTCCCCCGGCCACCCCCCTACATTATGTGTGCTGATCATAATGCCCCCTTTTCCCCTTATCCCTAGCTTCCCACCCATCCTCCCCAGCCCCTTTCCCTTTGGTAACTGTTAGTCCATTCTTGGGTTCTGTGATTCTGCTGCTGTTTTGTTCCTTCAGTTTTTGCTTTGTTCTTACACTCCACAGAAGAGTGAAATCATTTGGTACTTGTCTTTCTCTGCCTGGCTTATGTCACTGAGCATAACACCCTCCAGCTCCATCCATGTTGTTGCAAATGGTAGGATTTGTTTTCTTCTTATGGCTGAGTAATATTCCATTGTGTACATGTACCACATAGACTTTTCTCCTTTATACTTAGCTTGAAAATGGGAGTTGGAGAGCTTTAAAAAATTTTAAATGTCACAGGTTAGCTATTCCTTCCTGATAGCCTAATGTATATAGAAGTATGTCCCATATATTATTAAATAATTAGTTGGACCACTCACCAACTCTATGTGAAACATTTTGCAAATGACATCACCAAAGGTATAAAAATGTGGTCTCTAAATTTGATCAGTCACTCCTCAGAAGAATTTTGAGCACAAACCTCCCTAAAATCTGTGCTTACCTATAAACTATATACATGTGCTACTGTCCCAGCATATCAGAATCAGTATAAAATATACATATATAAAATGGATGAGGAAAAATATACATAAAACAAGTTCTACTATTTTCTCTGCATTCCTCAACATATCATCATCTTGCTCACACCAGAGTTCATCTGATCCAGGCTGGTCACTGTTTTACAGAATCATTTACAGAAATTTTGAAATGGAAACAGAAGCTTATGCTATTCACACTGGATTTCATGCTCCAAACAGCATTCCTTTCCTTTTAAATGAGAGCAGGAATAAAGAGATGGGGCTCAGATCAGGGAAGAGTCACGCCAGCACCCTCAGGACAACCTGGACAAGCACTAATCAACCCTCAAAACTATTTCGGGGAAGTAGCAGGCTCAAGAATGTCACCTTGATGAGTAAGAAATATGACAACACAGAAACATGAGTCTGAAGGGAATGAGCTGCTGGCTATGTTCTCACGAGCCCAGTTCAAACTCGGTGTTGCATGTCACTGAGTCTTTAGAGGATTGATGAGATTGGCTCCTCTTAAAAATCTTCTGGGAACAAGAAAAATTGATGTATTTAATGCTATATATTCTCTTTGCCTAAGCAGCACTACCTCTACCCTCATCATTCCCTGACACTCAAATTGCAGTGTAATTACATTTTTTAACACATCGGCTTACAGATCTTTGAGAGATCCCATGAGAAATGTACAAAAAAGCCTTTACAAGCTATGCCTCTTTTTAGCCCACTGATACCTAAACTGAAAAAAATTTTAAGAAAACATAAAATTTTGGAAGCTCTAAATAATAACTAAGTGGGCATTTTTCCAAGTACTTCCTAATTACTATTCCTCTCCAGAAACAAACCGGATGGGCTAGTGTGAGCACCATCATTCTCCTATCTGAATGCTCATTTAGCAACAAAAGGGTCCCTGGCCCTCTATTCAGTTCAGATGGAGCCACAGGTAGGTAGCAATTAAATAGTCAACCACAGCATTCAGCTGCTTCTCCATCTACCTTGAAACAGCTGGACGGACCCTAAGAGTTCTAGAGAGGTGGTAGAACATATAGAAACAGAAGAACGGCCTACAGTAAGAGAACAGCAGGCTAGGTGATCGTTAGCAGTGTCAGCGTGATGTAGACGCGTCTCCATTTCTCGGTTCATGAGGCTTCATAGGTTATGTATTGCAAAATCAGGCATATCTCTGAAGAAGAGCCGGTCCCAGGCAAATCAGAGGGGGGAGGACATTACTAGGGCCTCTCTGATGAGATGATGATAAAGGCACTGTCCCCAGAGCTGCACCTCCTTCTAAACCCATCTCCCCCGCATGGTGATGGAGTCGCCACAGGTAGGTTACTGCTTCCTCCGTTCTGTGCTCCAGAGGATAGAGCTGCAAAACCATGATGAATTCTCCCCATTACCAGACCTACTATATTATCAGTGCCACACACATGACCCAAATCTCACAGTCTGGATCTGAACTGGACCTGAAAAATGGTAGTTACAAAGTCCTGGGTGCAAAAAGATAATGACCTGGCTGAGTAACTCAAAGAGACAATTGTACAGGAATCCAGACAGAATGTAGCCATAGACTATGTTCTATAGAACATAGAACAAAACTGGGTTTAGGACACTGTTTACAGCGACAACTGCCGACCTGAGTATGGAGGAGAAAGTATTTTGAGTAATCTGATGGGCTTTTTAAAACTAATCCCTTTGACCAGGCCCATGGAACTTCCAGTCCAGAAGAATCAATGGTTTCAAAGACTCTTAAGAAAAGCTGTTTCTCTGATGACTAAATACAATGAAGAAAAAGAAAGGAATGAAAAAAAAGCTTTGAATGACAGCCAATCAGAAGACTTTCGCACTGACTATATGAAAAGGGTGCAGCTTTCTAAAAGGAAGTCTAGTAAAATGGTGATGTAAGTGCACACAGATTCTCATTTCAATAAATATAAATGGTAAGCAAAATTACTTACTTAAATCTGAATTGTGTTCAAATAGAGGTACATGGGAGCTGATCGCCACAGTGGAAAAATTCATCTTCACGTATGAAAACTATTCCCTTATTTGCTAACAAACTGCAGCTCAACACGTGGCCAGTTTCATCTCTCCTCTTGCTGCTCCAAACTAATTCCTCCATTCGCTTCTCCATAATTCACACCCAAATGAGAAAACTACCAACATTTTTTGTAAAACACCTCGAATTTAGAGAATGACCCACATCACACTCAAATTATGCCACTATGCCAGTATGACTCCTTCCAAATAACTGTGCCATTTTGTACAAACTGTGGATTCATGGATTAGCACCTCAAGCTTCCAACATAGAAATGTTCATCCAATATAATTTACTGTAACTTGACTAACAAAATACTATTAATGCAGGCCATTGAATAGGCTGAAAATAGCCTCTTTGTATGGAAGCTGGTTCTAATTTTAATATTAAGAATCATGAGGAAAAAAATAAATCCTTAAGAAAGAGGAGCTAAACTTTGAAGATTAGGGTGATTTTGGCAGAGCTCAAAAAAAGTCAAAGTATTCAGGCAAGGTAGGAGAGATGACACCTAGAGCAGTGATCCCTATTTTTAATAATCAAGCCCACTGTAGTAAAAAAAAAATTAAGAACACCCTAATTTTTAATATATTTATTATATTCTAAATACTATTAACAGTGATATATTACATATATAAAATAGAGACATTTTAAAATGAGTCAGCAATAAATGTAAGTAGAAGTTCTAATATTTTTTGTAGCTCATCTTGCATTTTCCTTTAGGTATATACATCCCACATCAGAGGATGTACACCCCACATAGAGGCCACTGACCTAGCACAGGGGCCAGCAAACCACAGTCCACAATGCATATTTCTGTAAATAAAGTTTTATTGGAACACAATCACACTCATTCAACTACATATTATCTAGTGCTGCTTTCGAGGTCCAACAGTGGTGGTACATAACTGCAACAGTGACTATCTCATAAAGCCTGAAATTATTCACTTTTGGCCCTTCCCAAGAAAAGTTTTCCAACTTCTGATCTGAAGTCTCAAAAGTGAGAAAAGTCCTTCTAGCCCTTAATCAAGTGAGAAAAGTAGACAATTATGGTCTAATCCATGAATGCAGTGTTTACTTATGAACTGGAAATTCTCCAACTACGGAATGAGGAAAAATTTACCTGTAGGAAATCTCTTAAGTTTTGACAAGGCTTCTCAATTTTAGATCATATTCTAAATATTTCAAGTAATTGGATTTTAGTAGCTTCTCTAGATACAGTTTCCCTCTGTCAAAAGATTAATCGCCAAATTAAGCACAGTGGATTAGCTGGAAAGGTCAGCACTGGTGCTGTGCACAACCTACCGATGGTGTAATAATCATTAAGGGCGAGACAAAGAAAGCGAGCCAGAGAAACATCCCAGGCTGCCCTATCACACCTTCAACTCCTGTAGGCCAAGCGGTCTCCTAGTATGGTCCATGGACCCCCAGGGGCTCTGAGGCTCACTTAGGAGGTTCACAAGTCCAAAGCTATTTTTATAATAGTACTTGAATTTGTCCTTTTCATCATGATGATGTCTGTACAGATGGTTCAAAAGCAAACGGGGGGAGAGAGGATGCAAATCTGCTGGCCCCTTAGCACGAACCAAGGCAGCAGCCCCGAGCTGTGCTTGTGGCCATCGTATCCTTTACTCAGTCACACACCCAGTTTTTTTTTTTTTAAACAAATGCCAATTTCATTTAAGGACCTTGATGAAGAAATTTAAAGTACTCATTAAATCTCAGCCCTTGAGTACATGCCTTTTAAATATTCTATGCAGCAAAACAGAAGTATGCACAAAGTGCTTCCTCTATATACCAAAGTGATCACTGTCTCATGCAAGTACTTGTGTGATACAGTTTAAGCAGAACTACCTCCCTTTTCTCATGGTACCCCAAGAAGAAGTGGCACAGTAAGCACTGCAGACTTGGGATTTAGCAGATATTTTCTCAGAAATGTAGCTCTTTCAAGGAAATCACCTGACAGTACTTTTCTTCAATAGTAAAATCATATCTTTAAAGCATAAATTTGAATTTTGGGGAACCTGTATCTGCCACAGTGAGCTTGACAGCTTTGTCATACATAAAGACGTTTTTTATTAGATCAGTGGTGATACGCAACAGATGTCCTCTTTTTTTCACCCCATTGTACAACAGCAAGATATTGGATACTATGCCTAACTCAGTGGACCAATATTTTCTAAATGACCAAGGCAGGATGCTACAAAATCACCCATGGGTAAGAGCATTCAGAGTATAAGATGGATCAAATGGATTTTAATGAAACAAAATATAAAAGAGTTCATTGATAGGGTTTCAGATTTCACACCGTAGCTGATCTTTAAGAACCATCATCACTTGTTGAGTTGTGGTGAAGTAGTAAAAAATATCTGTAATTATGTGAAAAGGCTATTAAAAATATTCCTTTTTCTAACTACACATATGCTTAAGATTGGATTTTCTTTACATATTTCAGTCAAAACAATGTATCATAACAGAGTAAATGTAGAAGCATATATGAGAATCAGCTTTCTTCTATCAAGCCAGAAATTAAAAAGGTCTACAAAAGGTAAACAGACGCTACTCTTCTTGCTGACATTTTTGTTTTGGGAAATATTTTTAGTAAAAATTGTATCTACTTGGCATATAATAGGTTTATTAACATTACTTTTAAAGGAATTAATAAATAAACATTTTCAATTGTAGTTGTAATTTCTAATATGATAAATACCAAAAGACAACTCACATGAACAAAAGCACATCATTTTTAAGAATGTAAAGGGATCCTGGGGCCAAAAACATGGAGACCTGACACTGTAGACCTACCCACTCCTACTTTATTCTACATGCAATTTTCTGGTTTTACTGGAAAATACTTACAAAGTGAAATAGTTTCCCCTTTTGCTTCTCAGTTCACTTTTTCATGAGCTACACAGGAAATCACATCTGTACATGTGAGTATGAAGGTCCCTTATGCACCGGAAGAAGGAGAAGGGCTCTAAGCAGGAGGAAACTGCCCGCATCCACAAAAGGGAAGCAGGTCCAAGCCTGAGGCCCAGGGGCTCGCACGCTTCCCCCAAGAGCACAGACCCGGCCGAGGCTGCTCCGGTGCCCTCCACGGACCCGCGCTGCACGGGGAGGAGCTGCGCCCACCTCACATACATTTTCTTTGCTCAATGCAGTTGGCTAGAACTCTCCGGGACCCCACCTGAGTTCTGGATTCCCTGCCAGGTAGGTGGGAAAATTACTTGCAATGGTACTTTTCAGGACAAGATGCTGGTGATATGAAGAGGGAACAATCCTCTCTGCAATGCCAATCGTACAAATGGCATAAGAGGTAGAATCCCAAATTTCTCTTCTCTCAGTGCCAAGCAGTGAGAAAGAAAAGGTCTTGGGTTGGGGGGCTACTATCCCAGGAGGGCCACTATCTGCCCACCTGAAGGAAGCAGCAGCATAGCCAGCGTTGAGACCGGGACAGGCCAGGAAAAATTAGCAGAAACACAGCACGTGTTGTGCCGGGCCAGCGGCAGGGCTCAACTTGGGCAGGGAGCAAAATCACTGAAATGGGTCTGTCTTTGCACAGAAAAAAGGGGAACTGAAAGAAGCTTCTCCTCTGGGGCCTAATCACACTACCCACAGCCCTAAATATATTAAAGTCAAGATCTTAGAACCTAAAAGTCTCTCAAAGAACTTATAACAGGTTTCATAGTTTTATTATCACTATCGTAAGGCAGATATTAGCACCCTGATTTCCACTGACACATGCACATCTACCCTAGCAACCCCCTATTCATAAAGAAACTGTAAAACTAAAAGACATCTGTTAGGATTTCAACACAAAATTTCCTCCTAGAAAATCTTCTAAATGGCAGTTAGGCAAAACAGTACTGTATTTTATACACAGGGTAGATTAATTAGGCTATTGGAGGCTGGTGTAAGAATGACACTATTTCCACAGTGTCCAAGTATGAACTCTAGATTTGGGGAACACACCTGTACCCCATCCCAAAACATTCAGAGTGATGAACACATTTACAAATATTAATTTAATGGGAAAATACAGAGATTCTTAGAGTCCCCTGATTCCTCTGTAAAAGGATTCTCTGAAGATAACGTGCATCTACGAGTACCAGCAGAGAAGTGAAGCTCTGAGGCCAAATTTAGGAGCAGAAAGGAAAGAACCAACCACGTAGCTTACCTGTGGTCAAGATGACTGAAGTCTTGTAAATTCAATTCCTTGGTATCTTGTGTCAGATAAATTGTATCGACATCCTATTTGAAATATAATTCAGTTATGCCAATAGCACACGGAGATGATCAGGGAAGCAAGAGAGATGCAAAGAGAATTAGATAATGATACGGGCAGATTTTTATGTAACCTGAGGAAAGAAGATATTAAGAAAAAAATGAATAGTGAGGGGAAAATAAAGACAAATAAGCCAGTCAAATATTGGAATATTCTCCGGTGGTGAGAGAGAGAAAGTGACTGTGTGTGCGTGTGTTCAGAAGTGCGTGCACACAGGTTCACTTACCCATTGTACTTCTTCCCTGTATGAAAATCCAAGCCAGTCACAAACACAGGCATACATCTGAGAGAATCCACCTGAAATACACAGCCAAATGTAACAGGTTTTTGGCTAAATGATTTTTTAAGTTAAAATTTTAAAGCTTAAAAATATGGCCAAGGTTGACAATGCTGATTATTCTTGCTCTTTCAACAAACAGCGAAGATTCTCCTCCCTCTTTTAGAGTAAGTACAAAGCAGGACGCAATACAGCTTAAATATAGGACTTTTGTCCACAAATCTCAAGTCTATATAATGCTAATTACACCTTAAAACTAATTGTACCTTTACAGTAGCATGCTAGGAACAGACTTAACTTCCTGGCAGAGGAACATTCCTGCAGCCATTGACATTTGGGTTTTAAAGTGCATGCTCACCACAGGGACCCTGCTCAGCCACAGTCTGGCTGTCCCACAGAGCCTGGAGACTGGCCAGTCGCTCAGACGGCTCCATGGAGACTTTTTTCATGATTCTCCTGTAAGATCAATAACAACAATAAATTTTGAACTGCATAGAAATCTATTTTGTGATATGCCTTTTTTCTTAAACAAAGGTAGATGTCACTTCAATTTTGGTAAATATAGTTCCAATTTTTGAGCATCTGGAAGCTGGAAATCAACAGGAACTTAATAATAAACGCCTTTATTTAATTTCCCTTTGTAAGCTAAGCATATCTAGAAATGTAAATAATCTCTGTTAGTCATTTTATAACATTTAAGTTTTATTAGAATAGTTAGAAAATAGTGTTCTAATTAATGAATTATTAGATTATGTACATACTAAATATAAATTACTAGTCTTCGAAAAATGAAAATAGACATCTCCTCCTCTGTCCGTCCTTAGTACCACACAGATGTCCGTCAAGAAAATGAGCATTTCATGTTGGAAGCGCTGTTTCTTTTACTCTCTCTCCCCCTGGGCTACGACTCCTCTGGAGCAGAAAGCATGCCCAGCACCCACCACACGTGCACCCTCCGTACCGTCACCCCCAGAGCCTGACAACATTGCTGCCACACGTGCAGAAGGAGGACGAAGTAGTAGCTAAGAGCACAACCGACCATCCCTAAGGTCTCATTATTCACAGAACTGGTAAAACAAGAGCATCTACCGCACTGGGTAACTGCAAGAAAGAAACACGTCAACACCTGCAAGGGTACCTGCACGATCTCTGGTGCACCAAAGGGTCTCAGCGTTAGCTGATGCTGTTGTAGTGATCACTCAGTCACCATTTAATGACTCTGGGAATCCATTAATTCACCCGAAAGCTTTATTGAATGGTTTTTATTGGATGAAGAGAACAGAGGGCACCCCTGGCCTCACCGGGCGAGCAGTCTGCTCTGAGGGTCAGACACGCCAGCAGGCACCATGGGGACAGAAGCGCCCACCCCTGGGAAGCACAGGCTGGGGGGGAGCAAGGGGCGGGCGCTTCTTCTCCGGCTGGACAGTCTGGAAATGCTCTTCGGCACCTAATATATCTGTGCTAAGACCTGAGGGAAGAATAAAGAATTCATCAGGTGAAGCGTGAGGGGAGGAAGTGTAAACCAGGAGCTGGGGAAAGTGTTCCAGATAAAGGGACAACAAGTTCATGGAGATGAAAAAACTGTGCTTACCAGAAACTGAATATAATTCAAAACAGTTAGCAAATAAAATGTGTTAGGGAGAGAGAGGGATGACAGAGGAACCAGGTCACGGCGAGCCTTAAAGGTCAAGTTAAGGGGCCTGAATTTTATTCTCCGGGCAATGAGGAGCCAGGGAAGACTAGACAGGGGGTATGAGATGATGAGACAAGCTCTGTGCATACAGCATCTGCGGGGGTGGCGGGTGGGGGAGACTTTGGACACAAAGAGCTAAATAACTTGAGAAGTTAGAAAGAAGTCCTGGGACTGTCACAAGCCCAGTGAGACTGAAGGTTGTGAACTGCGGTAGCACCAGGTCGAAGAGCTGTGGGGTTTTCTCCTGCCACTCTCGGCAGCCCACACACGTGCAGGAAGGGGCACCCGGCTTGCTGGGCAGCCCCAGGCTGACCAGGCAGGTGGGCCAGGAAAACGGAGGAGACAAAAGGAGCTGCGGATCCTGACAGGGCCTAGGGAAGTGATGCACACGCGGGCTAACAGGGCAGGGAAGGAAAGGAAGGCAGGAAGGGGCGGCAGGAGGGGGAACAGCCAAGGGGTCCACGGCCTAGAGTCCCTGACGAAGTACGGGTACTTCCAAGGGAGGGGGTGAAAAGGACTCGAAGCAGGAGGCAGAGGGGAGTAACTAACTGTTTTCAGCCCAGGAGAAGATGTTTCAGGAGAAGAAAAGACGCAGGGTGTGGCCATCAGTGTAAAGTGAGGTGGGGGTGAGGAGGTCGCGGGCTGCGAGGAAGGGAAGGGTGCTAGTGGGTCAGAGTCACCCAGCACCGTCACAGGACCTGGGTGCAAAGTGGTGAAATAAGCCCGCTAAGTCATACTGAACATATTTTCATCTTTCTTTAATGATTCAAAAGCACTTCTGCTGTACACAATGCTTTCAGTTGTCATTATGAATTTCAATCACCTGTAGAGTATTACAAGAAAATGTTTTCAGCTATTTTCATTTTCTGATTGGATGGATTCCAGATAAAATGTGCGACAGAGCCTTACAAGTTGCCTGGTTGGCTTGTTCTACTCCTAGACAAATGCTCAAATATATAACAAAGCATTAAATATAGACATTCTGCTAGCACTGAAAATATTCCTACCTCTTTGCAATTTTTATGACTGAAGCATCTCAGGTAGAGCCAACTGATGTCACATGTCATTGATTCCTTCCGATTCTTGTGTAAATGGGTGAGATCTGTCAGCATAGCATGATTTTTCTCTACTTTACCTGGAAATATGTTATCCTAAAAATCTTTAATTTGGGGTGGCTGTGGGTTTGAGAAGACATTCACAATGAAAGTGGTATTACAGAATCTAGCAATTCGGAATGGTTCATCTTGGTTCAGAACCATCACTCTAGTACGTTACTGGCAATATCTGCTGGCTACAAGACAGAAAAGCCAGATACTGTGCAAAGTCAGAAGCAGGCCCAAGCACTTACACAACTGAATTAAGTAAACCTTGGAGACACCAAGCTGGACTTATGGCTGACTTCATCCGAGATCACATTTCTCTTCTAAAAGTCTTGCTGTATTTCAGCAGAACTGCAGGGCACGCCATTGCAGTTACACACAGAATGAAGTTAAGCTAGTCAAAAGCAGGAAGAAAGTAGGACAAAACGGCTTTGGCAGGATGCTGGTAAGATTAAGAATAGGAGGGTGGCAGTCTAGGATTAGAGGGAGAGAGAGATTAATCCTCACGCAGAGACTTACTCCAACACAACACTGGGCATCCACGCTCAGGGCTAAGGGGAAGTCACTGGCGAGCGGAGGAAGTAGCTAGCAGATGTCTATGTGAGCAGGGACCTACTGCGAGGAAGTGACCCTTGCCGTTTTCCCTGACCTTCAAAGCCACCTTCAAAGGAAGCCGTCTGAGCTCCATTTCTGTAACAGCGCTCATCTTTCTTTTTTAAGGAACTAAAAAAACACATTTCAGGAACTAAAGGAGTCCCATGAAACAAACGCATTTATTTACATAAGAGACACAGTTATAAGAACTAACCTTCTAGAAGACAGCTACCCGTTTCTCAAATATTCTAAAACTATGCACAGAAACAGTAAGTGAAAGGAAAACCCACAAGTTGTTTTCTGCCTGTAGCTAAATAACAGCAAAGAAGCCATCTGTGTATGCACCTCAGGGACCAGCTCGCACATGCACACACAGACAGAGGGTGTGCCATACAGACAGACGGATGAACAAACCAAGGATTTGCCATCTGCATAAAAGCCCTAACAGGTGAGCCACAATTCTAAAAAACAGACACGCACGGCCTGCCACGCACAGGCCACACTATGTAGTTGAATCACCTACACTTAGATGATGTGCATCTAATTTCACAACTCAGAAAATGCTTGTATGTGGCACGGAACGGTGAACTCCAGACGACAAGCACACCAGCTCCGCACATCTCATACTTCAACTGTCCATCTGAAAAAAATCTGGAAATTTTTGATCCACTTCAGGTAACCAATTCAAAATTTAATTCTAAAGCTTATCCTATATAATCTGACAACTATCTCCACGACAGTACTTGTTCTATCGATGCAAACTACACCGCAACAAAATGCTACCAACAGCTCTAGAAAACTGAAGGGATTACCGGAGCCTATAAAACACCTTTGTTTTGTTTACATATAAACTCCTATCTGCCAATTCACAATAAAGTCACCTTTTCATATATCAATTGGCTTTGGACTTCATAAAGGGATTTACAGTATCATTCTTATTATGGTAGTAAAGAAACACAGGCCCAGCACACCGACACCAAGCTTTCAGATACGTCACATACATGGAAGAATAATCAAGTATGTTGAAAGCCTAAGAAAAAAATCATGTTAAAAAGCTACTATTCTGTCACCTACACTGGGTATGAATAGCCACACTTAGCAAAGACAAAAAGCAAATTAAGAGAAATGCAGTGAACTTACATATAAACATGTAATAATAAAAGAGTCATCAATCTTAGAGAAATTCCCTCCAAATACCATCAGTTCCTTCCCCCGAGGGTAGACTTTCATTCCGGTGCTTCTGGTAACTGCCTGCGACAGTCCACAGCTACACCGCCTGGAGCACTGTTTAAGCAGTTTACACGAGTTGATTTCATCCTCACAAAGCCCCATTAATGTAATTACCCCCATTTTACAGACGAGGGCCCTGAGGCCCTGGGAAGTGAGGGACCTCACCTAGAGGGTCAGCCCCTAAGGCGGCAGCCTGACATCTTCCAGCGCCCTGACGCAGCACGGCCGGCCGCCTCTCCCCTCGGGGCACTGTCACTGCATTCCGCAGCTGAAAAGCCTTCACTGGCTCCAGCGTCTGTCCTCGCAGCTTTTACTCAGGCCTCTCCAGCTGCACCTCACCTTCACCTGACCGTGGTGTCTGCAGGCCCACGATTCCCACCACTGCGGCTGGACCCCGTCTCCAGACGGCAAGTACACCTGCCCCGCCTGTACCCCCACCATTTCCCGGCTCCAGCCTTTGCTATTTCCCCACCCAACTCTCCCGGGCCCACAACTGACAAAGGCCCTCCTCTCAAAAGAAAAAGGGAAAACAAACACCACCGGACAGTACTCTCTTGACTTCCCAAGTTAAATGTGACTTTCCCCTCCCTGAAATCCGAGGTGTCTCACTCTGCTCATCCTACTGTTGGCGGGACCTTCTTGCTACCTTTAAGCTATAGACAAAAGAGGGCAGGAAACATTTTACACATCTGTGTATGTCTGAGGGATTTCTTGAGTGAACAGTTTCTAAATTCATTCTATCTTGTCCTAGTAACTTAAATTAATCTAAAAAAAAAAAATAGGCTTGATTTTGGAGAGTAGCCAAGGTTCTTGATATTAGAAAAGCTAAAGGCTGCAACACAAAAGTTTCCTGAAGAGAAATACCACTGCAAACAGCTCCATGAAAACACGCTAAATTACACTTAGGCTACAAATACTTCCTGAGGTTCTCCCCTCACTGCCATTGCCCTAGAGGTGAGGCCTCCCATGACAGTATTGCACAGAGAAGATGAGAATGTTAACGAAACAATGCTAACAGTAATTTGATTTTTATAATAAATAAATTGTAAATTTCCTTCTTTAATCTTTAAATTTTCTCTATATTTTGAAATAAACTTTCCTTATTTAATGAGAGGGGAACATGTTTTGTAAAGCAAAGAGGAAGAGATAAACATGGTAACAAATAGAGTAGAGGGGATGTGAAAAGAAGATACTGGAGTGAATGAGTGAATATTACTTAAAATTTTTTATTTCTTTTCCTAGTTGCATTCTCTTGACTATAGTCAAGAGGACTGATTATATTTTATAGATATGTAATGTTATTTTTTTATTTTGGTCATGGAGTTATTTTCAAAATTTCTGAAATTCAGATCTTTGCAGGTATCATTTCATTTATATACAGCCAAACTTAGCTTATTCAAGAACTGATTGTCTGAAATGAAGGCTTCCCTGGCTGTGTCTGTCCCCCGATCCTCCTGTGGATCGGTCCCCTACCAGAAGCGCCCTTAGCAAAGAAGGACACGAGGGCGGGGGACCAAAGGAAATGTATCTGACGGGACAAATGATGCAAAGAGTGCTTGAGGATTCCAGATAGTTTCATAGGGACATAGAGCATCATTAGGGACATTTTATTTTGCACATTCTGGATTATTTATATAAAGGAAATCTTTCCTGTGTTGACAGCTTTGACTTAAGGCATCCCAGGAATGTCCAAGACAGTTACACATTTCTCCACCCTGAAGTCACAATAACCAACACCATATAATTATATATTTTCCCAGTCAAATTCCTGTAATACAATCTAAGGAACTTAAGGAGTAAAAGCAGAATATCCAAGTCACCAAACAGTAAGAGTTTATTTTGACAAGCTAACTGTGCTTGTTAGGTAGTAAAGAGAAATGAAAGTCAAATACATTTAAGTTACTTAAATTCTCTGCCAAATCATTTCTGAACTACAGTCTGTGCCTTTCCCACATCAGTCTTTATTCGGACCGCCTCTCCTCCACGGTCTCCCCGTCGTTTTCAGGTACATCTCCTCTGGCCCGCCAGCCTGCACTCCCGCACCTCCCACTTACACCCAGCCACCTACCTACTGTCTCCACTGTAGTGACCCCCAACCTCAGGCGTCTGTGGATGCAAGTAAGGAACAAGCAATCAAAGTGGCTCAGCTTCTAACATGGGACACTAGGTAGATGATGAAGCCACTGACTGAGAGAGAAGATCAGATATGGGTAGGTTCTAGGGGGGAAAGTATGGAGTTCAGTTTGGGACATACTAGGTGTGAAGTGCTCGGAGACCTCCTTGTAGAGATGTCCAAAAAGCAGCCAGGAGATAGAAATGGAAGGTCAGGGTAATGAGGGGGTCATGGATTTAGACACAAACATATATGTAGTATAATAACCACCTCTCTAGAAATAGAGCTGATTATTTAATACTTGTTGTTTAATACTTATTGCCTGAACATTTTAACCAGAAGTGGAAGACAAAAGAGGAAACACTTTTTTAATACAAATTTCTCTGGGAAGAAAAAAACATAAGAATCCAAACCAAAAATAAAAGTGGTGATTCCCTCAAAATTCTACCAATTAAACAAATAGAGCTGCATTTTAAAGAAGATAGAAATTCTAGATATTGCTCTGAAGATCTCATAAGCCCTTGCTAAATAATAAATAAAGCCACGCTTACTAATTTTCTTATTTCATCTGTGTTAATTTGCAATGAAAGCAAAGACATTATCAGGAAGGCCCTGTACAAAACCATATTACTAAAACAGAGCTTAAGGGAAATGCAGTGTAGTTATTGCTAATTCACTATTACCCCCAGATAGTTCTATGGTGGCCTTACGAATGATATAGAAACCAGTCCTAAGAATGTTTTACTTCTGGGTATTTCCCCAGTGCCACTGCTGATTCACCCCTCACCTCATTCTACCACCTTTGCCTGCCCACCCCTCTCTTCTGGACACACAAGAGCGTGTGTATGACTGGAGACCAGCAAGAGCTTGCCTTTAAGACACCTCACATCTGGAAACTCTAGCCAGGCAGGAATCAGCAGGCAGCCCCTCCACTAGAATGAGACCAGGGGTCACTTAGCTCCCTCGGCAACCAGCTACCCAGCTACTCAGAGAAGCACAAGACAGGTAAGCTTCGGAAAGGAGAAAGCCCTAGGTGACCGCGCAGAAAGCACAGGGCCAGCCCTTCCATTCTGGTGTGTGAAGTGAAGAACAGAGAGAGCCCAGTGGAAAGCTGTGAAAAGCACCAAACAGGTCTCGAAAAATCAGAGACATGGAGGGCCTATTCCCACTGAGCCCCTTTTAGTCACCCAAAGGATTCCAAAGACTTACAGCTGCTTTACCTCTTAATTACAGGCGGAGTATTATAGAGACACATTGCATAGAGGACAACTGTCCCCCAAATTCCCCTCCCACTCCCACAAAGCAAGGAACACACCTTAGACATGTCTAATGAGGCTTCAGAGCCTCCTCAGCATGCAGGGAGAGCAGCAGGAGAGGGACTTTCTAAAATCTGTGTGTCACCCCTCTCCAGCAGAAAGGCACTCTATGAACTATGATTTTAGGGAGCTTTTGGACACAAAGACCTCTCTGCCTTTTCACCTCAGCAAATCTAACTCCCCCTTTATGCAATCCGTACTCCCTCAGCACAAGCTCTTGTTACCCAAGCACATAATCCTGATGAAAAATGCTTAACAAAAAAATACGAGGGCATGTACAGATAAAATGTACTAATATCCCCGACATATATTACAGAAAACTAAGAAAATGAAAGAGGCTGATTTTTGTTTTCTTTATTTAAAGTTTCTTCCTATTAAACAGACAGAAAAAAAAGGAGAAGAAAGCACTCTCACTCATCACTGATACTATCCTCGATGCCCTTGTACAAAGCCTGCGGCCCCTGGCATTCTGCTAATGGCTGCGAGTAAAATTCACACGGGAGTAAATCTCAAAGTACACTTAAAAGGTTCCTGTTCTAGTTTTATGCGTAGAGATTAAAGGATTGCCAAATCCCTTCATCACTCAAGCTCTTTCAAGTACAGAGTAAGGTACAGCTCTATCAGAAAACCACAGACATAAAACAAAGGGTTTGATATTCACTGCTTAAGAGAAACAGTAAGTATGGAAATGGAACTACGTGAAGGGGCAAGGAGAAGGCATGTTCTCAATTTGCCATTTTGAGGCAGCCCAGGTTGTCTGCTCTCCTCACCCTTCCCCAGGAGAACTCACACTGGAGAGAGACCAGGAAATATCCTCCGCAGGCAGGTGCCAATGTGAGCCAGCACTTCACTCACATCCTCGGGTGATGCCATTTTCATGGAGATGCCACACTTCTCAGTTTCTACAACCATCTGCAAGAACCAGGTTGGACACAGCTTAATAAGGAGTCCAATTCTTTCAATTTTTAACTTCACGTGATGTGAACTATATATTCACACTGATGTATACCAATACAATTGCAGCTTTTTAAGATGTACATTCGTAAAATAACACTCTAAGGTTAAGTAAGACTCAAAGAGTTGTTTGCGTAGAGGATAGATAGGGTGTCAGAAACATCCAGAAACTGAAGCAAATGTATCTAAGGGCCAAATTGCAGATTCCAACAGACCACCCACAGGATGGAGACTGAATATCCATATTTATTTGCACATGACTTCTCATTTTACAAGATTTTGTCTTGAGATGAGTTACACAGTCTGTCATATTCCTCCTACACAGTATAAATTAAGTACATATCCTCCAGTGATGACCTGAGGACTGATATTACTTGAGAAAAAAAAAATGTTTTAAAAACAAAACACCTTATGAGATGTTAAAACCATTGCCTGGTAACAAAAGAAAAATCACATGCTTATAAAAGTTTCAACTTTTTAAAAAAAGCTGTTACTTAGAAAGGATTATATTAAGGGAACAAATTAATAAATGTTCAGTGCTAGACAAAGATTCACTCCTTAATTGCTAGAGATGTCCAGAACTTACACCAAAAATGTAGACACTGAGGTCACATAGCCAGTCCTATAAACAAGTATAAGTCAACCTCAAAAAATATAGGGTAGGTCACAAAAGGGAGACTAAGTTGATTATGGACACATTTCAAATAAAAAGAATCAATTTCAATTACTTTAATATACCATTACCTTAGATTTCAAAAATATTCATGGGACATGCAATCACTTTGGCTTATCACGACCTCAAAATATCCTTACACACTTACTTCCCAATGTTAGTTAATTTGTACGAAAATATGATGGAGAACACTACACTCAATGTGCAACTAACCAGGAGGATTAACAAGGCAGTTTTTAATTTGTTTTAGGTTGTCCTAAAATTAGCTAAATTAATAATAATAATAATCTGTCTTTCAAAGTGTTTATGGTAAAAGGAAATGTAATACCATTTATTTGTCAAAAGGATGAGATCAAAGAAAAAGACATGTGTTTGGCATCCTGTAAATGTTTCTTCTCCATAAGTACCCCTAGAAAAATCTGTTAACAGGGATTTAATACATCCACCTCTGTGCCAGTTAGTTGGCTCCCTATATAAAAAACATTTTTCATCCTAATTTTCAGCACATTCCTCAGAAACTAATGGTGTAGGCTCTGAAATTCTCTAGGCAAATTTCATTAATCTCCTAGAAGCTGGTCCGAGAAATAGTTTCCCTGCCAAGGCAGCAAGCAGTAATGTACCTAGAGGTATTTAATGATCGACCCCCAGGAAACCACAAGGAGGTGTCTTAAGTAAGACTAAAGCTGCTTTATGCAGTTAGACTTAGATATTTCATATGTACGTGTCTATGCGTATGAATGTTTAAAAAGTCAGATACACTGGGATGAGGCTGTGTCTGTGTTCTCCACCCTGCCCCCAACACAGCCACCACGGGCAATTACATCTTTCACTGCAGGGTACTTACTTCTACTTTCTTCACACCTCAATTCAGTTCACAGTTTGGGTGTGGGTAAATAGTAATTGGCTTATTCTAATTCTACTTAATCTTAATACCTAATCATCCATAATTGCACAGGATTGAATAGAACGACAGGGAAGAAAAAAGGTAACAGGTGGGGGAAGAAATGAGGCCATTAAATTCAAGCTTACATGAAAGTCCTCATATAGCTCTGCATAATATGTCACCATCTTTGCATAATGTAAAGATTGCAATAAAGTGGCACAGTGAAACTAAGACAGTAAACCATTTTATCAGGAGTAAGAACTCGCTCTCAAATATCTTTCTACCTCCTATTTCAGCTGGGAAAAATAGAACACTTCAAATAATTTTTGCTTAGATACCTAGTGCACACTTAAAGAAATATTCAAGGATAAAAGCCCTCGTATCTTATTTAAGATTAAAATGTCCAATCCCATTCCACATCCCTTTTTAAAGGTAGAATAACTTGACTAAATTTTACAAGAAGCATTTACTAACCTAGCCAACAGATCTGAGAATTGTTTTTTTTCCCCCAATAGAAATAGCCATGGATGGTTTACCAAAATCATTCTATGACATAGGAAACAATTAACATTGTAATTTTAAAAGTCACAAGCGTTTCAGTTGTACAAGAAAAGGCTCAAAGTTCTACAACCATTAAGACCATATAACCGTTGGTCTCAACTTATTAACCATGAAGGCAATAAAACTTAAACACCAGAAAGTGCTATTGGCAATGGGACTTGTAAAATAAGATCAAGACCTCCCACATTTCCAGGAGGGGAAGAGGTAAATAGCAATAGTAAAATTTATATTTTGCTGACTAAACAATATATTCACTCACTGTCACTCATACACACAATGAAATGTGTATGGTCCAGGCGTTTTATCTTAATTCATGAAATAACTAAATGATAAAAAATAGTAAAATGACAAAAAAGTTAAATCCCAGAGCACTTTAGAAAATAATGTCCCAGTCAAGGCTGGACTGTGAGTGCCACAGGCAGACACTATCATCCTGATGATTTTATATAAGAGAAAATAGAAACCTGGCCCATCAAGGGTCCTGGGCTTACACAGGTTACTAATTGTCAACCTTTGGAACACAACAGAGTCACGTAACCACTCTACAGACTACTGCATCCTAACTTGTGTGTGTGTGCATGCATGTGTGTGTGTGTGTGTGTGTGTCTGGGGGTGGAGGGGTTGATGTGATGCTGAAGGTATCAGGATTTTAAAAAGCACCAAAGACAACTCTGAGACGTCAAATTTTGATTACAAGTAAGTGACTAATATTGCCAGAGCCCGACCTCCTAGACACACTGTGGAAGGAACGCATTAATTGACTGTAATTGCATTTTGAAGGTCCACACCCTGGGACAAAGTTAAACTGAAGTAATGTGACAGAGCTGTTCTTGTGGTACGTACAGTGACAGAACAGCTCCGTGGGACTGAGGTGGCCTACTTTATACCCAGTTCCTCTGAATGCCAGACATACTGAAAGGACACGACTACACAGTGTGGCAGAGCTACTTTCAGCAGTCACACGGAAAACTTTGTCTTGCTGTATCAATATCCTCTCATAATTAAACATCAGTCAAATCATATTTTGAATATAACCTTGCCATTAACATTTATAGTGCCCTTCTGCTTCCATCCCAACCACCAAATCATAAAAACAAGCATTCCTGAATTAGGACCATTAGGAAGGCCCTGGTTACGTCATCACTGACGAGAGATCATTCACCCCTACATATGTTTGCCTATTTTGTAGTATAATTTTTCTTCCATACTCCATCTTCTGGAGAATGATAAACACACAGGATAAAACACTGTTCTAAGATGAACTATGGAAAAGTTCCAAGGATTTGTATGTAATCTCCATCAACAGAAAGAGACAATTTTGACATATTCTTTTAGGAATACTATCAACAAATTACACACACACACACACACACAAATTTTCTTTATAGTTTGAAAAACTGAAACAAATAGTAAGTATGTTAGTCAGAAAAATAGATATAAGTGAGGTGGAAAGAGAACAAGGTCAATAAAGCCCCCCAAGAAAGGACTCGGTTAATCAGTTAAAACTAGAAATCCAGAAAAGACTCAGAGTTAATGAAATCAGTTAAAGCTCAAAAAAATCAAGAGCAACTTGGCCTTGAATGTTTGAATATTCCCCAGATAAGGAAAAGTATCTGAGCACAGCCCGTGTCTTCACTGTGTCAATTAGATCCTTGTGAGATGTACTCTAGCCTGCTAACAGGCCCACATATAAACAGTATAATAAAGACAGGGAGATCACACCTTAGAGCCAAAATTGCATTTTAAAAAAAAAACAGTAAGTTTAAGAAGAAACATTCTTAAAATAATCATTAGTAAACAAATAACTCTGCCCACCTTGAAGGAAGGGCAGACAGTCTTGATTGATATGCTCCCAAACCAGGAAGCTGCTATCCTTGGAGGGGACCAGAGCACTACATTTCTTGTGCTAAGCTAATTTTGCAGAATTACCTAGAGGCCTGATAAGAAACTTCATGTCTCATCAAAGATATGCTCAGTGTCTTGACTGTGGTAATGGTGTCACGGGTACACATGTCAAGTTATCAGGTTGTATGCTTTAGCTTACTGCATGTTACCTATAGGTCAATAAAGCTGTTTTTAAAACCTACATTTTATTAATACCAACACTATATTCCCAGAAAGACCTTATGCAGTACAGTAATAACTCTGAAGTTTTCATGCTAAGACTTGTACAAAATCTCTAAGGAACAGTACTCTCTCACATTTACATCACCAGCTAACATAAGAGCTAATTAGTTATTTTCAAGCTGAGTTAATGGAGAATGTGTGTTCCTTATCAGATCAAATTCCCAACCTCTACCCACACAGCCCCTGTTCACTCTCTGATTTGGAAACTTCTATTTTTCCTAATCTTGTTTTTCTATGTTATCTCAAGAAATTTTCAATAGAGAACCAAAACAGAAAGTGTTTCCCCATTTCAGAAACTCAACGGAAGTTATGACTTGCAGTTATGCCAGGTGTCTGTTGTTCACACTCACCTGGGCTGGCTTGCTGCAGGTGACACCGTGTATCTCCAAGTAGCTGAATGTCAATTCAAGCTGCAAGTGAGAAAGGAGGGGGAAATAGACCTGTAATGAGGGTTTAAAACCTCTAATTCAGTGTAAAAATGCTACATTAGAGACAGCTCAAGAGGAGACAAGGTATTAGGTATCTTCTGAAGGTAGGCTGGTTTAATATCTCCATTCACTCAACAGGAAAAGACCTTGACTGACTATATTTCAAAAAAGTATTATTCACTTTACCAAAGGGTTCAAAGAAAGCTACAAGCCTTTTAAAACTTCATCCAAGGGATAAACCTAATGGAGTTTTTATACCTACTTCAGTATTTATTGAGAAATAAATGCATGAAGTGAGCCACCTAAATATACTTTCTTCTCTTATTTCAAGATTTTGCTTCAGAAAGTCACATCAGGATAAAGACAATGTTGGTTTTCCTCTCTTTCTAACGCCTTACCTCTTTGGGTTACATACACTCTGACCACTGACTGTAGCCATCCTTCCTTCTACAATCTTCCATAAAAATTCATATTTTGAATGGACTTAGAAAAATACAATACTTAGGAATGTTAAAACATGTCTGAATGAAACACACAGAGCTAAGCAAAAGTCTGCTCCCGCTGCATGTAAATAAATGAGGACTTATTTCCTTTCTGTTTTAACAGTGAGTACCCCTTGCTCTCTTCTCCTTAATCAGCAGTTCTTTTTCTACAGAGTATCTCCAGTTGTGCACTCTCAGCCTATTTTTTCTGGATAATAGCCATTCATCTTTCGACCAGTTCTGCAGTCTTTCACCAGCTACAGCCAGGAGTCACAGGGCATGGAACTAGAGGCCATGGAGAGCTGAGCTGGATCAGTTTATTTTACCCTCTCACCTTAAAACTAGGAATGTAATGCGAAGGAACCCACTTAGAAACAAAACACCAAGACCCTTAGTTCCCCCCACTAGTGTTCTATTGTCCCATTATACACTCGGCAGAATCTTAGAACAGAGAAACCCTGAAATCTCCTATTAGATACAGGTGACCCTTGATCAACAGGGATTTGGATTTGAATTGCACATCTCCACTCATACACAGATTTTTTTTTCAATAAATATTTTGAAAAACAGATAAAAAGTGATCATATGTACTGGAAATAGAGAAGGGATGAGCATCCACTCATACACAGATTTTTTTCAATAAACATATTGGAAAAATGATTTGCAACCATTTTAAAAAATGAACAGATGAACTGTATAGTCTAGAAATAGCAAAAAATTAAGACAAAGGTGTGTCATAAATGTGTAAAACAGATGTAGATGAGTATATTTAATCATTTACTACATAAGATCAACAATAGGCTACTAGTAGCTAAGTTCTGGGGGAATCAAAAGTTACGTACAAATTTTCATCTGTTCAGGATGGTGGGTTGACACCCCTAGTCCCTGCATTGTTCAAGGGTCAACTGTATCTTGAAGTATGGCAGAAAGGTAATTAATTCATTATTCACTTAGTCAACAAACAGACATTTATGGAAAGCCAACTACATGCCAGGATTGGAAACAGAGAAAGGAATGAGACATTTATCTTTTTCTCCAAGAATTAAATGTGGAATTGAAGACACATTTTAAACACTCAATTAGAGTAGAAGTCTTCTTATCATTATCAAGATCTATACTTCGTTGGGTTTTGAAGTCATTTAAAGCAGGGATCTTCTAAGAAGTACACATATCTATGTTCATTTATTTCAAAGTAGAACTTACAAACATATTTCCATTTGTGAGCCTTTGATAGAGTGCCAAATTTCTTCTTTGAGTTAATAAGCCCATTGGCTGGCCCTCCACTGGTACTTCCCCTGTGGGCTACACCCACACATAAATACAGGGCTCCCAAATTCCGATTCAAGTCTCTTTAAAATTCAGTGAGAACTTTAAGTCACTTGCAAAGCAATGTGAGAGTGTAAGCTCACAGAATAACCCCACCCACCTCCCGGCTCCCCACCCTTTGGTATTTATCTGATCCCTAACAAGACTGAAATTTTTTAATCAATATACTTTTATCAAGATTCAATATTTCATAGACACTGTCTCCTTTTGCAGCCTATTTCATTGCTATGTGAAATATTTTTAATTAAGTAAATTTATTACTGTAATTATAATTGCTATAAATAGGTTTTGGGAACAAACCACTGACCCTGGGTGGGCATCTCATTCAACTGGGGGGTACAGGTGTGGACAGGTATAGTCTCTCTCAACCTAGCACCTAGGAAAAGGCAGCTGTCATCAGCATCCTCTGGAATGACATGGGCAGCCACAGTCAATGTGGCTGAGTGAAGTTAGCTGCAGGTCACCTAAGATGCTTCTAGGACACCAAAGGGCTGTCACTGGGATAAGCAAAGTGCCAGGAAGCCAGGAAACATCGAGACATTTTAACTAGGCCCTGAAGAATGACTTCAAATTTGTTTAGCAAAGAATGGGTGAAAAGGGAAATCTGGGCTGGAGAAAAGAATTTGCAAAGGCATAGAGGCATTAAAAGAACCAGGACAATGCAGAAACTAGAAGCAGATCCCACAGTATCAGATCAATCAGGGAGGAAGGGCTGTGTCTGTGCCTTGCCGCGGTTGTGTGCACCACTGATGGGCAATGGACAGGAAGGGAGTGTCTGAGACATACTGACAGCGTCACAGCAAGGTTCAGATCGTTCTCTCTCATCTCATCCACAGCTGTTTCTCCGAGGTGCTTGCTCTCCCGTCCCCAACTGTCCCTTCCTTGACTCCAGCCACCCAAAAACAATGCAAAGACTGCCACTGGGCAGGAGGCTAGTTGAGGAGCCAGAGGCACATGCCCTGAGGTCATTTTAAGACAGAACCACAATATTAGTGGTTAGTTAGATAAGAGGAAGGAATCAGCCCATACTATCCATAGCTTTTCTGCTGCTCTCTCACTCACCCTTCCCAACTCCCAGCGAGACAGTCCCATCCCACAGGCCAATCCAAATGTGAATTATGTGACTGTCCTGCAGTAACTCCCACTATTCCATAGGCAACAATCCACACCTCGGCTGCCTAGCTTTCACCCATTTCCCTCCCACTGCAACCTACTCCTCAGCCCTTGACCAACAGAAGCCCCCTTTATGTGCCGGGATGACGTGGCATGATCCTCGAAGCCGGCTTCTCTGCGCACCCCTCCCTGACCTGATAATCACCCGCCCCAACCCCCAAAGCCTTCAGGGGTGATGGCAAAGTCCTGCTTCACCAGAGGGTGACTGCAGAGCTATTTGCTTCGTGATCAATCGCTGAGATGTTCATTTCTATTTTGTACATTTGACTGCACGGATGGTACATTTAACAATAAAAAGACAAAAGAAGAAAATGTTCAGTTAATCAGCCCCCAAAGAAGAGAAGAAACCTATGTAATGATCAGTGCCTGTTGTGTACGACTGTCCTGAATATAATTATTTCCCTAGAAAATTAACGTCAGTGATGCTGGTTTTGCTCATCAGCCAACGTGCGCTCGGCACATGGGAACCAGGCGTCTCTAGGGGGAAAACCTGCATGAAGATAATCGGGAAGAAAATCTTTCTTTCTTTGTGATGCTGACACTATCAGAAATCAGAGCCAGTACCCAAAGTACCCCAGCCAGGCCGATGTGAAACATTCATGCATCGCAGGACGTAGCCGAGCGTCCACTTAGGGACGAAGCAAGGAGGCAGCGTAGCACCGGCCAGCAGAAGGGGGGAAGGTGATTCCCCAAGAGGGGACACACCCTCTGCCGCATCACAACATCTCACATTAAGGTGAACATGTTATCGAGGAGCCCTCTACTTAACAGGCTGCTTGACTATTTTCTCAAGCCCATAAAATTTCCTTCTTCAAATAATTTTTCCCCAGTGGGATTATGGTGAAAATATGTAACTTATCCAACACCGTTTATGCAATAATTGATTTCATTTATAACACATTATGAACATAGAGACTCATTTTATATTATCGAAAGGGGGTGGGACCAATGATCTTACTCCTCAGTGAAATTTTGTAAAACTTAGAATTTGTATGATCAGAAAGAAAAAGGCAGTAGGTACCCTACACCTTTGACCAGCAAACACTGGATGGGTATCTTCACAAAGCTTAGCAAAAATCATGCAAATCATTATTAGACTGCAAGTCCTGAAAGGTCTGTCACGATAGCACTGTCTCTAGCACATTGCAGGTATTCACAAAATATTGGCTTTGTGAGTATTAAGAAGACAGGACTAAGAAAATGAGCAAATAACACTGCAGTCAAAACAGCACAGTACAGTACGGCCAAGAGCACCTTCCAAACCTTAGCCATTTTCCTGTGTATGTGGACAGGTTATAGGCAGTTCAGCTCAGTAGAAACTAGGAAAGAACAGGACACAGTGAGTCTAATTCGTCTTCCTTTCACTCATTGCTTGGGAATCCTTAGACAAGCCAACTTTGCATTCTCTGAGCTGTTTTCTAATAGCCCACCTACAAGGCTACTATGAGAATTAAATATACTTAGTAGATAACTAACTAAATTGTAGTAATAACCATGTAGTTAATCAGGGGCTTTATAGTCTAAGAATCACCCATCTGTCACCTAAACATTTTAAGTTGGAAACATTATAACTTGAGCTACATCTCCCTGTGGCTCAGTTTCTTATCTGTAAAATGAGGCTTAATACCAGGGCTCTCTTAAGTTTGTTTTAAGGAGTAAATCATATTTACTAAAACAGCACTCGATAAATGTAGCTATCATTCTTCTTTTTAGAAAAAAAATCCCAATCCCTTGTTACTATTTAGTCCATATCCTACAAAATGGCTCAACACCTTTTTGTTTCCATAAATAAAATAAAAGAAGCAATTATTATGCCTAATTCATGAGCTATTGGTTCAAATTTTAATTTGCACCATATAATGAAAGACATCTTACGGAAAATGTCAAATACATCTTTTAAAGAACCATGCTATTCTTTATAGACAACCCCAGAGTACGTGGAGAATGGCTGAGGAGGCTACTTTACTGGTAATATGAAGGTTATTTCCCACATGTCAAAGCCTTAGAAAAATCTGCCACCACTGAACCAAAGGAAATAAGAAGCGGACTTAAAGAAAGTATAGCCATGCCCCAGCTGAGAGAGAAAAATGACTGGAATCCACAAACCTCAGGGATGTGGAGCACAAAATGCTTCGGCACTTTTCCTGGGATGCTTTTATGCAAAGAGAGGGAACAAAGGAGTAAAAACTATCCATCACCACAACGTTCAGGTGCTTTCTAGGGAGAAGGAATGGAAACAGGGGTGTGCTGAAAGAACTCCGGACATCAGCCTCGGCCACAAGGCCATGGGACTGAGGAGTGCGTGTGTATTGTGCTAGGGAGGGTGTTTGCCGGAAGAGGAAACTCACCAGCACTTACCTTGGTGGGGATTCTGGCTGTTACGAGGAAGGCTCGGCATGGCGTGAGCACCTGCGGGACAGAAACAGCAGCGTCAGCGCGGCACCAGGAAGTGGGACTGGTGGGCTTTGGGGTTACTCATCAGGCTTTAATGATACTGAAGCCTTGACAGGCCACGAGGTGTGCCTCCTATCATCTAAGAATGTGTGAAGTGGAACACCTTCCTGGCCCTGGAGAATTAGTTGGACTCCAAGAGTCACTGTGTGAAGGTCTACACTGAACTGATCACCTGGGAAATCTCAAGATGAACAGTCGGTGAGCAGCTCAAAGGACCAAGAGGTCACTTCAGTTGAGTTTGCGAGACACGTCTCTGTAATAGGCAAAGACAGGTATCCTACAAGCAGTCGTGGCCCCACTGTATCTACAGAGGCTTAATGAGAAAGCCAAGTTATTTGCACTTTTCAGATTACAGCCACAACCCACATTTGCCCTCCTCCTTTCCATCTCTCCACACTAGCAGGTAACATTCGCGTAAGAAGCTGTGCCCAACCATTCTCAGCTCTGCCTGCCTCGGTCCTGGCATAACCGTGTATGGATGTCTTGAGTCCAGTACTAAGCTAAGAACACAGTGATAGGTCGCGCGGTCCCATACACCACTGGCCCCTGTACCCCACAGGGACCTTGGGAATAGAAACAGGCTGCAAATAGCCTGAGTTCAGACCTGGATCAACAGTCTCCTGTCCGCAACCCTAAATGTCTACTGTGCCACTGCAACTAGGAGGTCCAGGCAGGTGTCGTAGGCCTACAGAAAGAAAAGAGGCCCCCAAACGTCTCATGGTCTGATGGGAGAATTACACCTTTTCATCTTGCAAAGAACTTCTTTGTCACTCAACTGACATTTAACAAATGACGTGCATGCATTAGCCTAAGAATACTAGATTTGAGCAAAAGCTTAGAAATCCTAACTCAAGGGCACTGAGCCCCAAATTGTTATAGGATTTGCCCAGATTCAACACAGGGCTCAAACTTCTAATCCCCGCACAGAAGGTGAATGACTGCAAATGCCTATGGCATGCTTTATGCCTCTCCAGTCTACAAACTCTAAGCAGAAGCAGTGTATTTTCTACAAAACTCTCCTTTGTATAATCATTGGTCACCAGTATTGGGAATAACTTAAGTCAGGAATATTCATGAGATAGATGACGAAGGTTTCCCAACACCGGCTGAGAAAGCCTACAATGGGCAAGATGGAAGAGACATGGGAAAGTCACAGCCCATTTCAAGACCTTCCACCCAAATATCTGCAATCACAGGTATTCACAGAACTCATTTCTACCTGATATCACTTTCACTACTTAATTTTAGAGGTGACATGCTCTAAAAGCTGTTCATAAATAACTTCTAAAAGTGTAAGCAAAAAAAGATACCTATATTTGAATACACCATATGCTATGAATCACAGTTCTTTTTCCTAAGACTCTTCAGAGACAAGAGAAAGCAACAAGCAATAGAAAGGAAAGAGAAATGTAAGAAGGATGATTGGATGAGGCTCTCCCAGCCGGTGTTGGGAAACCTTCCTTTGTCATCTATCTCATGAATATTCCTGACTTGAGTTATTCCCAGTTCATTGAGGTCAACTATAGCCCAGTAGTAACAGGAATGACTATATAATTTTTATTATTTTGGTATCATTAATGTACAATTACATGAGCAACATTATGCTTACCAGATTCCCCCATTATCAAATCCCCACCACACATGCCATTAGAGTCACTGTCCATCAGGGTAGTAAGATGCTATAGAGTCACTACTTGTCTTCTCTGTGTTCTACTGCCTTCCCTGTGCCCCCCCAATACATTATGTGTGCTAATCGTAATGCCCCCATTTCCCCCTAGTCCCTCCCTTCCCATCCGCCCGCCCCAGTCCCTTTCCCTTTGGTAACTATTAGTCCATTCTTGGGTTCTGTGAGTCTGCTGCTGTTTTTTTCCTTCAGTTTTTGCTTTGTTCTCATACTCCACAGATGAGTGAAATCATTTGGTACTTGTCTTTCCCCGCCTGCCTTATTTCACTGAGCATAATACCCTCTAGCTCAATCCATTTTCTTGCAAATGGTAGGATTTGTTTTCTTCTTATGGCTAAAAAATATTCCATTGTGTATATGTACCACATCTTCTTTATCCATTCATCTACTGATGAACACTTAGGTTGCTTCCATTTCTTGGCTATTGTAAATAGTGCTGCGATAAACATAGGGGTGCATATGTCTTTTTCAAACTACATTT